GCTCCAGAGAAAGGCGAAAGGGATGAGAATGAAACGAACAAAGGATTGAGGGTTTCTGACAGAGGATTCTTGAACACCGCTGTAATGCGGAGCCAAATCACTTATATTGATGGAGAGGCTGGAGGTACGGTTCATTGCCGGCTAGTTTGTCATTTCTTCCATTTAACACCTCGAATCAAGTCCTTCGATATAGGTATGCTCTTGTCGAGTTCGATGGTCCAAAGCTATATCGAATTGAAACTGTAGAGGATACCCCATCGAAGAACTGGCCGTACATTCCTCTCACCTTGAAACTGGTCTGCACAAAACCCCTCGCAAGAACTTGATCACTTGACTGATACACTTGTACCAGCTTACCTTCTCATATACGGCTCTCTTCCGACTTCATCTCAGCTTGAAGTATGGGAAAGCGAGGTTATGCACCATGGCGTAGTACACGCCGACGCTGAACAGTTCTTCCGGTCATTTAGGTTAGTCATCCTTCTGTCCCCAAAATGCTCATGTCCTGAACAATCTGATAGGTACGATGCCCATCCAATGGCAATACTCACCAGCGCATTTGCATACCTCGGGTCGTATTACAGCGAGGCAAATCCCTCATTGCAAGGTTCGCTGCGAGCATTTATTATCATTCACTGTAATTCACATTTGGAACCCAGGTCAAACTCTGTTCACTCAGGGAAGCCCAGAATCACTAGCTGTAATGGACAAGCAGATATACAGGTTGATCGGGAAAGCTACCACACTCGCTGCGTAGGTGTTTGTTCATCATAACTTGTAATGTTTGAACAATTTTTATGCAATTTTTACCCCCAGAATGGCATATCGAGTCCGGCAAGGCAGAAGTTTTGTCACTCCACCCACTGGGTTCAGCTATACGGGCTCGTAAGATTTATTCTCAGTTATCGGTATTACCAGAAGCATTAATTTTACATTCTCAGTTTCCTGTATCAAATGGATCATCTAGGCGAGGAAAACTATAAACCAAATCCTGTTCTGGAAAAGGCCCTGGATGTCCTGTTCTTGCTACATGCTGATCACGAGCTGAATGCCTCCGCAACGACGGTCTTGCAAACCGGAAGTTCACTTGTGGACCCGTACTCTGCGATAGCGTGAGTGAGCCAGATTTAATATGAAAGTCGTTCCTCATTGGCTCTCCCTTCTCCAGCGCTGGTTGCGCGTCTCTGTAGTAAGTCCAACTTCAAGTGTTTTGCGTGAAAGGATGCTGATTTCGTTTGTAGCGGTCCATTGCATGGTTTGTGATGCTTATGACCTTGCCATGAGTGGAGTGAGAATTGCTGATATTTTTCCAGGAGGAGCGAATGAAGCTGTCATTCGTATGCTCATCTCCATTGGCAGGTAGGCCTCTCAGTCTTGGATGTCCAAGTTGGTTCTTCGGCTGATCCGGCGAAATGCCTGTGTACCGTAGTCCCGCGAATGTTCCTGCTTTCATTGAAGCGGTCAAGAAGCGGGAAAAGGTTCTTTCAGGATTCGGACACCGGTGCGTCACTATTGTCGAAAGAAGCTTTAGTGATTGACGGTTCCTGTATAGGGTATACAAAACCGTAGGTTCTACTCTAACTACGAGCTGCCACAATAAAAACTTCAATGCCTTGACAGTCGGACCCAAGGTCGTTCATTGTGAGGAAGACTGCTGACGAGGTTTTTAAAGTGTATGTACCCTCGGTCATGCATGATTTCGTATGTTCAACGCTTCCATTATGTGCAGAACTGGTAAAGATGAACTACTGGAGACTGCAATGGCTCTCCATGAGGCTGCTATGAAGGATGAGTATTTTATCAAGCGTAAGCTGGCACCCAACGTCGACTTCTGGTACGTGATTTGCTCTCGTTTGCTGTGATCAGGTTTGACAAAAATAACTCGTCCATAGGAGGTAAGATTTTGACATTCATCAATTTGGCGAAACTGATTCACTCTCGGTTCAGTGGCCTCATTTATCGGGCTATGGGTATGATATGTATGTATTGCTCAAGCGACGCGGAAAAACTGACCAGTGTTTAGGTTTTCCTCTCGATTTCTTTCCTGTGCTGTTTGCTGTACCCCGTGTAGTGGGATGGTTAGCCCACTGGCGGCAGGTAAGTTCCGTTTTTGACGGTTTTTACACGATGTTAACGCCCTTCCTACTCGTGGTTCAGATGATGCTTCAGCCTGGCGGTGTCAAGATCTGGCGCCCACGACAAGTAAGTCGTAACTTGATTACGATCGAAATGCATACTTTTCTCTGATTTTTTAGATATACGTCGGTGCAAGCAAGAGAGAATATGTAGCAGTCGGAGAGCGCAGTCCGGTGGAGGGACTTCAAAAGACGCCTTCTCAAATATCGCATTCTGGGTGAGTTGTAAATTTACCATCTCAAGATGGTGACCATAGCGACTTACCTGTGTGATTCAATGGTTTCTTCCTTGATTGTCTGACACGACCTAGAATCAGTAAACGGACGATGATTGCAACGTTCAAGGGTGCAAAGCTGTGACTTTGTGGTACATACCTCTCGACCTCACGAAGGGCATGAGGGAAGTTGTATTTTCTGAGGATTTTATGTATTAAATATGGTAAATACATAGATGATATAAAAAATGATCTGTAACTCGTGGTGACCAGGTGCCAAGCTTTGACGGAAGGCGACAATTGACCGTTGCGCAAACAAACCGTGGGAACGGAACGACAATGGCTCGGAGCGCAAACAACTCTTTTCCATCAAGTCGCCTCTTGTTCTTCTACTTCCATCCCGGTCCTATAAATCATCACTCCCTTACTCTCCTCTCCCCCGCATCTAGTGAAACATGTTCACCACACTCGTTACCGTCACTCTTTTTGCCGCTGCTGCTATCAATGGCGCTGCCGCTCAATTGACTATACAGACTCCCTCAATGACAACCGTACTCCTAAAGTTTTTCACCGCCTACTGCCTAGACTCACTTCCTTTCGTCTAGTGTGAACCCGTTGATTTAACCTGGTCTAGCACCACTGGTCCTTACAACTTGATTATGGTCTCCCCTGACGACCCCTGTGGTGATGCTCTGTGCGGAAAAAATCACTCCATCAGAAATTTCATTTCCTAAAAAAGCTCTTTCTTCCTCCTTAGTGTTGATCTCGGAGACCAGGACGGTACTTCCGTTAGCTGGACTCCCAATGTTGCCCCAGGCACTCAATTGGAATTGTCTTTGGTGGACGCTAACGACGAAGAAGCTTGGTCGGGCACTGTATGTATCCTTCAATGATCTTTACAGTGTTCCGCTCGAATTGATGAATGTCATTTACTTTCAGATTACTGTGGCACAAGGTTCGGACACCAGCTGTGTCCCCGCTGACGCTCTCGCTGCTGCTTCCTCCTCCTCTGTCGCTGCTGTCTCTACCTCCGTTTCTTTCTCCTCTGCCGATGCTTCTTCCGCCGTATCGTCAATTTCCGCCTCTGTTGCTGTTACTGGTACAACGTATGTATACATCACTACAATGTTAGCAATCGTTTGACGTTTTGACAGCTTGGTGGTAACCGGCGCTGCCACCGCTTCCGCATCCAGTGCCTCAGCATCTTCCAGCTCAGGACCTGTTGGTGCTGTAGGTGAAAATGGCCCTCTTGAAGCTAGCAGCAACGGTGCTATGACCCTTGCTACTACTCCCATCATGGTTCTCAGCGCTGTCGCTGGAATCCTCGTTCTGTCTCTCTAAGGATACCGCCCCTGCAGGGGGTATAAAATACCCATCCACTCATACCTTCTCACGTATCTTTATTCTTATGTCCTTCCTCCGCCCCCGGCTAGCTCGTGTGGATCATGTTTTCTACCCGGGTGTGGTTTCCGTCGTGCGTCAGATCGACTGTCCTGCTCTATTTTTTTTTGTCCTGTCTTCATCTGATTGGTTCTGGATTCCGTGTTTGCTACTTGTTGTGACATAGGGGAGTTCCTTTCGCGTATATAAGTTATCCAAGCCTAGCCATTTCATGGGGCTGCTGATTTATCTCGATCTGCGGTGGGATTTTTCTGGAGGCGCATTCCGAGCTGGAAAATCTGCAGCTTGCTTTCTTTCATCCTCTCCTTTCAATTTGTTAGCCACGTAACTAATCGCTTTGTACCTACATTGTCAAGTTCTGATACGCGGTTGTATCGTATTGTTTTTCTCTCAGTTTGTGTACTGAGAATCACCCGACAACACAAATTCAAGGTAGTGAATATCAAGCTCCAAATATTTTGAAGATAACGAGTTGAGTGAGTATTTACAATAGCTTTATCATACGTTTTCCTTGTCCATATGACAATGTGCCATGAGTATCACTCGAGAATTCTCTCCACCTTCAGTCAAGGTCGCTACAACATCCTCAAGGCAATTTGTTGCAAACCATGTGAAACGGTACACCATCCTTTCGGACTCATCATCTTCATCTAAACTAAATCCTTCCTTTGTCCAACTGCTTTTTCGGATTGAGTGCATCTGTTCTAACATTCCATCTTCGGAAAACGATACCGCCAGAATACCATTCCTGCTACCACTACTTGTTTGAGGATCCTGCAAATCTCCTTCCGCTTCTGGTCCTTGCAATATCACTCCACAATCCGTCTCAAGCTCACACCTCATTTCATTAAAATCCACGTTAACATGCGCAAGTCCCTTCACGCCAACGAAATCCTTCAAGAGGACGAGTAATTCCTGATTTGTTTGGCTATGGATCCATTCGTAGTGAGCAGCGACAGATGACCATCCGGAAATCAGGTAAAATATAGATTTGGAATCTGGGGATAATGACTCGAAGAACAAGACGGGGTATCCTGATACAGCGGATTGCTTTTCAGCGACGAGACGGAGATGGTCGATGAGGAGCGGCTGGGTTATCAATGAAGGATTCGACGAGTCAAGTACTTCGAGGGTGGCGAATTCAGTTACGGGCATGGAAAGTGATAGAAAAAAAAGGACGCGTAATTTGGGGATTTGTCTATGAATCTGGGCAGCTTGAGACGAAATGTATGTCCAGAAGCTGTATTAACCGACCATAGCTCAGTTGGAAGAGCGCGAGACTGTAATTGGAAAACTTCAATATCTTGAGGTCGCCTGTTCGAACCAGGCTGGTCGGAATACGCTCCTTCGACTGTATGTTTTTCTTTTGTTCAATGACTTTCTGATCATGCGGAACATTTGTCGAGTTCTCGCCGTAATTGGATCATCCATCGCCGATGCCAAAGATGTAGACTACGCCTCTTAAATTCGGTCTGTCATTCGCTGGCGATTTCCTCTTTTTCTCCACCTCCATTCCCTTGTGCTTTGGACACGTTCGGCGGTTTTACTCGGGTATCTTCTTTGAGCAACCCTTCATACAGCATCCGTACTTTAATCCATACAGCATCTACGTTCTTCTAAACCTTGCTCTGGGCATATATTTTGTGGATATTCTGGCTCCAGAATGGCGACACTGGCATTGAGATTGAACGAGTTGGCTGCAGCGAATGCTCAGGGTCTGTTAGAGTGCGTTTACCAGATATCCTATTGCCTCTACGAATTAATCATGTTAATGTAGCGATGATGAATACCGGATTCTGCGTCAAGACGCATTTGAACGATATGCTGGACTTGGAGATACAGAAGGTTCCAGCGGAGGCATAGTATTCGTTGAGCCTTCCATCACCCAGTCAAATCGGTCAACGAGCTCTGCGCAGCCTCGACCGAAGAAGCTTAATCGGCGTCCGTCCGAATCAAAGATGAACATTTTCGCTTCAACATCGTCAGACAAGGGCAGAACCCCAACGAGTAATAATGTTATATCCTCATTCATTCGTCGAGCTACGTCTCCGTTGAGGAGCTCCGAGTCCCCGCCTGGTCCTAGTAAATTCCCCTCTATTTCCAAGAAGAATACCCAAGAGTCCACACTCTCTAGATCGTCCTCGCGAAAGAACCTGAATTCTGGTCATTCCCATTCATATATGCACTCAATCCCAGACCCCCACCTACTATCACCACCGACAAGTCCTACCCGACCTGTACATACCCCTTCTCAACGTACAGCTGCCAAAGGTTCTTCATCCCCCGTGAAAATTTCTTCCAGTTCCTCCAAATCGTCTACCCAGACTTCACTATCCGCTATGTCGAACCATGACATCTTCGAAGACGGCGGACTTTTTACCTCTATTGACATTCGGCGTGCAATATCAGATTTGGACGAAGATGCGAAAAATGTGCTTCGGGCATTCGATGAACTAGAGGAAAGTGCGTTCAAGAGAACGAAATCGAGGAACCAATCATCCAGAAGCCATTCAGCTGCACCACCATCTTCATTCAGTCTAAATTTGCTTCCAGCTCCCACAATGCAACATCGTTCGCGGTCAGACTCGGCAGCAACTGCAACCGTAAGTGGACGCTCTGCTGCTTCGGCTGATGATTCGCTGTCCAGGTCGGGTCATCCACGGCTACGTTCGCAGTCTACTACCTCGATTCAGCCTGTAACTATATTGGATCCGCCTCATAAATCTAATTCCAATCTTGGCACTCCCCATTCCACATCTAGCCGAACTCCCACACTTCACCGGAAAGGCTCGGTTTCGTCTCTAGCCTCGTCGATATTCTCATTGAAGGCCAAGGCCTCAATGCCATCCCTACCCTCTTTACCATCCATTCCCAGCATTTCAACGATGCCTAACATCACTAGATCCCGGAGCGGCAGTGTCGCATCATCTACCACCTCGTCTAACCCATCCAACTCTTTCTTCCCGAGCTCGGGGAAAAGCGTCGAAGGACTGCCGCCGATGTCTCCTGAATGGAGCTCGTTTGGACAGGGAAGATCGAGTACCTCTACGGGTGCTAGCAGTATTCATACTACTACCAGTACTTCGAGTACTGGGAGAACGAGCCTCAGCAGTGGACACGGACATATCACTACTACATCTAATACACCTTCTGTAACAGCAACTCCCCCTGTTCACCGCTCTCGTTCCGCCTCCGAATTCAGCTCTTCGAGTTCTTCTGTCCATTTCCGAGGGAACACGATGAGCTCGGGTCGTGCAGGACCGTCTGGACATAGTAAATATCGCTCAGGAGAGCGAGAGCGAGGCCGAACCAAGGGGGATCCGGATGGATTGGATGACCTGGATGAATTAGACGAATTGGGTGAAATTCACCAGATACAGCAACGAAAGCGGGATGTGATCGGAAGGTACGATGCTCGGCGAGAGTATCTCAAGGCTAGGCTGAGAGGAGCAGAGTTGCATGAGAAGGTTGTCAAAGGACGATAAACATAACATGAGAGTTGGGAAGAGAGGAATTTTACTTATGTTGGTGGGATGGACACGCATATATCTCGTATGTACTAAATTATGTAGAACCCTAGTAAATGTAGTAGTGTGATAATAATGTACCATGTACAAGGCCATTTATACACGCCGGTGGATTTTTTGGCAGAAGATGCTGTCAGCTCCTAGTATTTGCGGGCAATGGAAGAGCCCAGGAATGACTGCTCCGACTATGCACTACCCGAAAAAGTCCAAAATTTGTGGGTGCGGAGCAGGACAATATCTGTGACACTTGTCTTTCCTTGCTACTATGATCTTGCAAAAGCATGTGTACTGTTGACAGCGGCTGGCCTTAAGCTTAAGTCGGGGGTAGCTCGGAAGGTCAGGGGGGCCTTTGGCTTCACTCAACAACTTTGCGGCCAATTTTTCTAACTACCGGAAGGGGCAACCAAAGCGTCGGACTGCTCTGAGCTTGTACAACAGCTGCAAGAAATGCGTGTAGTGCAGAACGACGCGAAAAAGGTTTCCAAAAATGATGAAAAGAAAACCGGGCTCACTCAAATCCGTTGGGAGTAAAAGGAGTGAAAGGGGGAAAGTAGTCAATTTCATGACCTTCAGGTTTGAGCAGCGTTTGAGGAAATCGGTGTAGCCAACACGTAGTTCATTAAATTCACTTGAAAGATATACATTTCCATAACCTCATGCAGCGCAGCCATAGAGTGATTGCTCTCGTAGTTCTAGATATTCCTGTTGCCTGTTGCGGCGCTTAGCCCATAGCTTGCACAAGTAACTGTGGAAACAGGTGTAAACGTACCTCTACGTACCTGAGTGATAAATTTCATAGTAATTTTCGAGTTAGGCAGTGTAGAAGGTACCACAGATACGCGGCATAGGGAACATATCACCAAATTTCTGATACTGTTTGTTCTCCCAATTCTCAAAATCCGACGACACGTCTTCAGTGACTCCCAGGCGTGCAAGGATATCAAAGATGGATGCACACCAGTGACGGCAGCCCCTTCCTTGGTCATCGAAACTGATCAGCGCAATATTAGTTCGACTTAATCTTTGCTATTTGCGCATCAAATGACTTACTCATATTGATTGACTTTGAAGTCATTGAGCAGTTGCATGCAAATAACCCCAGCCGTATCATTGCGAAGAACAGGGACCGTGAACAAGTCGGTGTCTTTTGTGTTGGACTCAGCGGATACCTTCCACTCTATAACGAGGTTTGTGCGCATTGGGTGAACAAGGTCCGTATACGATGGGGTGGGGTCGAATCGAACAGAGGATTCATTACTGGTAACGAGAGAGAGGCAAAAATGGAAGTTTTTGCCCTCGTTTGTAGGTGTGCCAGTAACAACCACAGAAGTTATTATCGCATCGAATAGATCAGGATTGTGGCGCAAATCATGATTCAAGAAGACGTTATGTGGAAAGACGTAGGAGCTGTATCGGATAAGTCGACTCGGAGGTTATTAAGGATGTTCGTCATTGAACTCTGTGAAAAACCTACGACATGGGCCACGCAAATCCTTCGGTTGGATGAGGGCTGATGAGGGTCACTCGTAACCTCTTTGTGTTCATTTATTTGTTCAATTTGCCCCCAAGAAGGGCAAAACTCCTGAAGCCTGATGCATGATGTATAAAGTAAATGATAACATACCTTCAAATTTTGTGGGCGGGACCGGTCTCCGATCAATATATCAGCTCTGTCGGTACCGATTGATGGGCAGTGTATTTAGTAAGAACTTGAGTGGGTCCTTCCTGTAAATCCACATCCAATTGCTGCCACTAGAAGAATTTGAGTGGCCCATGTCGTACGTTCTCCAGAGATTGATATGTATTCAAGGCTAGATGCTAACCTCAACTCAACTTATAATCTAGCTCCTACACCTTTCCAAAAAACGTCTTCTTGAGCCATGATTTACGCCACAATCCTGATCTATTCGATTCGATAATTACTTCTGTGGTCGTTTCTGGCACACCTACGAACGACGGAAAAACCTTCCATTTCTGCCTCTCTCTCGTTACCAGTAATGAATCCTCTGTTCAATTCGACCCCACCCCGTCGTATACGGACCCTGTTCACCCAATGCGCACAAACCTCGTTTTAGAGTGGAAGGTGTCTGCTGATTCCAACACAAGAGACACCGACTTGTTCACGGTCCCTGTTCTTCGCAATGATACGGCTGGGGTTCTTTGCATGCAACTGTTCAATGACTTCAAAGTCAATCAATATGAGTAAGTCATTTGATGCGCAAATAACAAAGATCAAGTCGAACTCATATTGCACTGTTCAGTTTTGATGACCAAGGAAGGGGCTGCCGTCACTGGTGTGCAGCCATCTTTGATATCCTTGCAAGCCTGGGAGTTACCGAAGACGTGTCGTCGGATTTTGAGAATTGGGAGAACAAACAGTATCAGAAATTTGGTGATATGTTCCATATGCCGCGTAGTTGTGGTACCTTCTACACTGTCTGACTCGGATTTCACGAGTAAGTCTTGATACCAAATTTAAAGTGCAAGTACGTTTCCACAGTCACTTGTGCAAACGCCAAGCAAGGGGTCAAACGCCGCAACAGGAATATGTATCTACTCAGTGTAGAACCATCAGAGCAATCACCATGGCTGCATGAGGGGTTTTTAAGGTACATATATCTTTCAAGTGAGTATATAAAGTACGCGTTGGTTGCACCAATTTCGTCAAACGCTGCCCAAACCTGAAGGTCATGGAATTGACTACCTTTTCCTTTTCACTCTTTTTACTCCCAACTCTTTTGAGTGAGCCTTGTTTTTCTTTGTCATTTTTGTAGAAATCTCCGAAGTTGTTGAGCACTTGCATTTCTTTC